AAATATTAAGTCACCAATTATCTATCTGTTTTTTAATTAGAAAGTCATATATTTAATTAGTTATTTTGATCTTTCATCTAATTGTGTTAAGTAAAAATGTCCAAATAGTATCTTCTTATTGTGCTTCAAGATTTACAAATGTTAACTTATTTTAACGTTGAATGACTATAACTGAGACAGTTAGTAAGCTCATTACACTAGAGATGCCGTGAAAGGAATACAGTAGCTGAACAACTGGGGGCCACATCTCTTATGGCCCCCAGTTGTTCTTATTAATCTGTGACTGTTTTAATAATTTTAACTGATTTTAAATCAGTTAATCATATAATCAAATGTCCCAAACAACCTGTTGAAAAATGTTTATACCTGGTGGTTGTAGCTTCTAAAATATGTAGATTTGCTGCTTTTTTCTGTCGTACATTATGGTAAATTGAACAGACAGGATTTGGATTTTTGAATGTTGATCTAACAAAAATCAGATTTATACACCCAGCATTTTTAATACCAGTTTAGTGTAACAAACATTAATGTAAAACATGACATTCTGTACAATGAGTACTTTTGCTTTTGGTATTTGATGTTAATACTTTTGTAAGTTTACTTAAATAAGATTGTGACAGCAGGACTTTTATTCATAATAAAGTACTTTTACACTGTGGTATTACTACTTCGTCCACCAGTGCATAAAATACACACCTTTGCCTTCTTGTCCTTCAGGCCCAGAGGCATGAGAGCTGGGGTGAGGTGAGAGGCGAAAAGACGTGGAGACGGTCGCAGGAATGTAGATTGTTTATATTGTTAATATAATAATAAACATGAATCCACTGTGTTGAAATTTTTAACTCCCCATAACGCTACATCAATGGGAGTCGAGATGATGATCTGCTGAGTCCATATAGTTCCTGTGAGGGGGAGCAGTTTGGAGAAATCACACATCAGTGAATCTGTTCCCAACACCATGAATACAAATAATGTGATATAGTGACTGTTTTACTGACCTGATTTTAGATAAGTGATGAGGAATATGTCACTGTCTCGTACTTCAAAGCTCTGCAGTGAATCAATTTCCTCAGCAGTTGTTAAACCAGTGAAAAAGTTGTAGTTTTTATACCTGCAGAGGAAGTTGCTGATCTGCTCCATGTTAGTTCAGGATCACACAGAAAAATGAGAGAAATGTTGCCTACGGGGTTGTCACAGCTCTCAGCTACAGCATCTGGACTCTGGACTTCTGTGCATGTTATAAACTGTTGGTTTCGTCATAGGAATCTATGGAAATCTAACGGAAATGCTGACTGCTGGGTGCACACTGCCAGCAACAGTAAAGTTTAAATACAACACAGAGTTGAGTCTGTTTTATAACTTTATTTACAAAAAAAAAAAAAAAGGGGGGGGGGGCTTTGGGCTTTGACACAAAGATGTGTCAAACTGTGTATTATTATTATTTTCAATGAAATACATCAATTTAGACTTTCAATATCAAAATTACAAAAACTAGTTGACGTGAAATCTCAGTAATGCTATATTTTACAGGTTTATGAATTCCAGTTTATTGTTAAGTCATTTCCCATGACGTTACCTGGAAGAAGCCATATTATTTGGTACAAATTACAGGACAAGTAGAGAGTGATCAGATAGTACACTTCCAGCTATTTCTAAATGCTACGCAAACACAAACTTGAAGCATTCTTCAGGGGGCAGAAGGTGAACTACGCATGCAAAATGTTCAACTTATGTATAAATAATGAAGAATACAATTTTAAATTATTAATAAATTAACAGTAAATATTAACTGGGGTTTACACTGAGTGGTTCCTTTTATGGAAATTCATATGGAATCCAATAATAAACTCAACACAAATCAGTAGACTAAGAAAAACAAGATCAGTCTTAGAACTCAGCCTCTATTTTTCTGTCATTAGTACCAAACTACATGGTTCATTGCAGGAAGCTTTCAAGAAATTATGAGAAAATAGTAAACCTGTAAAATAAAGCATTACCCGAGAAGGAAGAAGAAACAAATGTTCTGTTAGACAATTAATTTTAGCTAATCTTTGCTTTTGTAAAATATTAAATAATGTAGCATTCTGGGGCTTAAACAATTCCTAAATTAAAATGTGAGAAGTTTAGTGATTAACAAATCTCTGCTACTGTAACAAATACTGATCTAAAACCGGTGAAAAAGTGGCCCCAACAACACTTTTATGGAAAAGATTTTGGATTTGATGTTCTTTTTATTGCATATTAAAATTTTATAGGTTTTTAACTACAGCAGTCAAATGTGTACTCTACATACTATACCATATGAATGAACAATGAATTTTGACAACGATCACAAATAGAGTTGGTGACAAAGGACAACACCAACTGGGAATGTGTTTGACTTTTTGACAAGTATATGGACACAACTCTCACTCTGGATGTCGTACCAACGGCTCTGGTACCCTGTACTCCTGAAGTACCTCCCACAAGATCCCACAGGGACCCAGTTATAAGCCTTCTCCAAGTCCACAAAACACATCTAGACTGGGTGAGCACGCTCCCAGGATCCCTCCAGTAAGCTTACAAGAGTAAAACGCTGGTCCAGTGTTACACGACCTGGGCAGAATCCAACTTGGCCCGTTTTGCATATTCACTAGGACTGCTTTGTCCTGTAATAGCGTATACAAATAGTGACAACCAATTGTTCAGTATTCATTGTTAGCTACCGCCTGAAATCACAGCACTCACACACACTTGGCTTCTAGCACATGTTCAGCAAGCAAGCGTGGGCAGAGGCTGGCCTATAGAATTAGGATACGTGTAAATCCAACCTCTGTGCAGGGCGGACTCCACCCAGGAAGATAAATGTAACAGAAACAATGGCTCGGGGCTTTTGAAAACAGTTTTCCTGTTCTGTCTTTCCGGGCCCAGTGCTGTATAACTTTTTATT